ATCAGAGAGGAAACCCCCTGGGCACCGAGGGCAGGGCTCCCGGCAGCAGCGGAGGGATTTGCCGACAGCCCCCAGGGAAAAGTCCTGCACGGTCTGCTCTCCAGACAGACTCCCCTGCGCCCACCTCTAGTTTCAGGCCAGGAAAAGAATACCTTGGGAGACACTGGGACTTGAAAAATGAACATCATTACACAGATGGGGCGATCTTTGCTGCTGATTCTTTTCCTTGGATAAAACCTTAGTGCGATTTCCTGCTGAGACATTTAAAGAAATAGCACAAGTACTAGTTGGTAGCCCCTTAAACAAAGTCCAGGCAGTTGAGAGGCTTTTTCCTCCTGGCAGAGATGCTCCCAGTTTCCAAGACTCCTCGCACTGTCCACCATAGGCAATCACTTCTTTTAAATGTGGGAAACACGACACTTTGTGTTTATGGGAAGGGGGTTCCAATATGTAATGGGGTCAATATGAGACCCCGTTACAGATGTTTTCTTTACTCCCCCTTTTCCCTCTGGCCTCATTTAAGTCTCGCAAAGGGTTAAATACCTGCACCAGCACAGTGCCTCAACCTAGCACACGGTGTGGGGGATGGGTGTTGCTGAATAAATATTTATGGAATAATCACATGAGATGACAAGGTCAGTGGATGCTCTGTCCGCCCTCCCCTCACCTAGCCCTGCTAGCCATGAGCTGTGTCCTTGTCACTCAGAATCCTGGGATTACTAAACTAGATCTAGGTATTGTTTGCGAAAGACTGAAGGGGAGGCACTGTCAATACTTAGAGCAAGAGGACATTCCATGGAGAACTGTCACTCCACCCTTGAAACAATGAAGGGACACACAAAATACCTGGGAGATACTGACACTTTTCTTTTGTCTACGTTACACAGATTACGAGAGAAGCTTTACTCAAAACATACTTTCTTGGCAGAAACAAAAACTGTAAGAAATACATTTTCCATTTCACGGTGCCCCACTGTGTGGATGGTGTTTTGCTGTTGCAGCATGACTGGTGTTTCTGTAGGTTTGGTAACTGGACCAAGTTCAGTATGACAGGGGGGTTAAAGGAAAACCAAATACATAGCCAATATGCACCTAAACAACCAATTAGCTGTCTATGATACTAGGTAAAGGCCAAATTCAGACTTTCCTGACTTCAGAGCCTTTAATGCATGAACAAGTGAGTTGTTTTATTGAAGAACTAGGTAAAGACCATTTTGGTTGAACAGAAAAAACCTGGAGAATATCATATTCTATTTTGGTTGGCAGAGGGAATCAGAAGGTATTCCCACAGAATGCTTTTGAAATGACCCCAGGGTTCAGAAAGTCTCCACTCTGCCCCATCTCTTCACTGGGACCTCCTCGGTGATATCTTGGACGCTCCCTCCTGTCACTACATTTCTTTTCCCACCTCTCCCTTGACATCTCAAGACATCCATAAAAGCAGCTCAGTAGTTTTTGGTGTAAACCTGAATTCTGACTTGGTGAGATCGGTAAATGAAGGTACATTTGCCCACTTAGGTGAAATCACTTAAACCCTCTGCTTCCGAAGACCTAGATCTACTTACGACCACGTTTCAAGAATAAGCTGGGGTAGAGAGTCAGGAGAGCTGACTATAGGGTACTTGTCATAGCAGAGTGATCAGAGGGTCTTCTGTCTGGCAGGCGGGTCCCTTTCCTGCAGGCAGTCAGAACTGTCCAAGCAGCACTGAATCAAGGTCATGCTCTAGATCCCAGGAAGCTGGACACAAACAACCTGAGAACCGTGTTCTCTGGCCATCCCATAGGGGCTCCCCAAACCGCTTCCCGAGCGCTTTATGAGAGTGCCTGTTTCCTAATTTTTCAGTTTCAAAACTGAACCTACTTGGTGCTTATAAAGATGAGTTTAGCATCGAAAGGTAGATAATCAGATAAAGCTACTCTCATGAAGATTTTCTAGAATCCTGAACTAGTCCCAATTGCCAACTAGTCCCAATTCTTTACTTTATAGACAGGAAAACTGAGGACTAGGGATGCTCAATGGCTGACATTGTCCCCAGCAAGAGCTGGGTCTCACTGCTGGTTAGTGGTGGAGCTTGGGCTCGGACCCATCTATCTTATCTCCCAGGGCCAGCGCAATGGGTCTAAGACGTCCCCCGGCTGCTGGGTTTGGCTTCCAAGGCACAGGACTGCATGGGGCTGAGGCTGTAAGAACCAGTACTTGGGGTGTAACGTGGTACAGGATTTACAGTTTGGAGCCGCTGGGTTTTCTTTCCTGCTGAGAGGACCTGGCAATAATAATGGGATTCAGGCACATTCTGGATTGATTCCAAATAGCTATGAGGAAATCTTAGATAGAAAAGAAGTTATAAATATGGGAGCAAGTGGGACGGTTTCCTAGGCTCTCGCTTTTACGCCCTCATTTTCCTTCTCCTGTAGCTGAAATGAGACGCTGGGTGCATGTCCCTGTGCCAGCAGCTCCCAACACTGATAGAACTGAGTTTCTGTGTAATCGAATGGCTATATCTTAATCCAGCTAACCCCAGAAGGAGCCAGACAGGCCACACCACATACTTGGGGAAGAACCTGAGCTCTCAGAAAATCCAGGTGGTGGGAACGACAGGAGGGAGGCAGAGAAAACTGCACAAAAGGTGGTGACCAAGAAGGTTTGTGACCACAGACTGTCCAGGAGATTAGAATAGATCCTTCTTGGGCCACCTGGGAGGCTTGGATTAGGTGGCAAGAAGGCCAAGAAAGGCCCTTTGGAAGGGGATGTGCGGTGGCCGATCTCACAACGTCGGGTTCTGCTGGTTCACCCTATTCTGACCCAATCCAGTGTTCAAATAAAATTCCACATAAACCGAGCTCTGCAGCTTGGGAGATGGTTTATGCATTCCGAGCTACAGCAGACATCAGAGACCTTTCTAAAAGGAAAGATAGTCCAGCAAGCAAAATTAGCGACCACAGAAGAGGAGAGCGACATCCATGCACACTTCTATTCTTTCTTTTGAATGGGTCAATGGAAATACACGTCTTACTTTTGCAGTTATTACTGCACATGCTACATTCGACTGAAAAAACCCTGCTCAGGTCCCCAAATACGTCTTTTTTAAGAAGAGAAACGAAGCGGTAGAGAGGAGGAGAGATAAGTCCATCTGGAAGAAGTCCCTCTTGGTTTTTGACTACTGTCTTTGTTCTCCTCCATCACAACAGGCAGAAGTGAGCTGCATCCTGCCTCTCTCCCTGCTGTGTTGGTATCAGCCTAACAGATCTCGTCCAGTCTTCATTGATTTTCCCTCTGCCTGCCACCTTGGCAGTTTTTGGTTTGCATTTTCCTGATGTTCTGACCCTGAGCCTGGGTCCCTAGGGAACCACCCTCTTCCTGACAGCCCCCAACCCCAGGCTGGCCGCCCCTCCTACCCCCACCCCAGACCTGAATCACTTCAAGCGGGAGTCGATTAATGGCTTATGTTAATGAAAGAAGCTTTTCACAGAGCCTGAACTCTGCAGTCTGGAGCTCCCGCAGGATCATTAGGGAGGGGAGAGGGAAGCAGAGGGGCCTCCGGGGTTAAGACAGCTTTGAATGTAATGACTATTGGAAACAAAGGCTCTCCTCAGCCAGGCCCGGGGCTGAAGCCTGCTGGAAATGCCTATAATAAGCGAGAGGTAACCCTCTCACAAGACAGAGTTAAAAAAGGAATATTGTTTTAATATGAGATTTATTTCTGGCTACTGGTCATTGCTGCGAGTTTACAAGAAGGCTTCAGATTTCAAAGAAGATGAGTAAAAAGCAGGAGCGTGCGGGAGGGCAGGCCTGAGGGGTGAGCAGGTCACGTGGCTGACAGCCCGTGGGAATGTCCTGCTGACCTCTCTGTTCCAGGCCCAGGCAGCTTCCACTGAGAAAAGGAGCAGTCAGAAGCAACCAGGAGAGGCTCCTTGTCTGCCAGGGCCCCTTGGAGCACAGTGGGCTGTGATTCCACACAGAACACCCCAACCAGTGCCCCGGCCCAGGGGGAAATGGGAGAATGGGACCTGCTTTGGGGATGCCAGCTATAAAGTCCAATGTCAAACACTGGGGTCACTGTCCCTCAAAGTACCATTTTGCATTTCCAAATAGCTTTAGTTGTGACTGTCTCCCTGATTTGCAATTTACAACTTAGATGCCTGACAATCTCTAGACTAGAGACAGTGGGATGAATGGCAGAATCAGGTAAGCAGACCCAATTTTCAGAAAGTGGCTTTCTTTTCCCGAATCTGCTCTCTGGCATGATCAATGGCAGCTGGGGGTAGGGGGTGGGGTGGTGAATGGAAGGCAAAGATCTCGCTCTGATCTCGGATTTTCTAACATTCTGAACCACATGCCACAATCACAGACACTATTTCCTCGTATTTTTCAGCCGTTTACTTGGGCCTTCCGGCAGGCAGCTCACTCAGACCTTGGCTGCTCACTGCAGAGCCTTTATTTTTCTTGTCAAGAGTCACCTTAATTGTCATTCCTGAAAGAGCTCCACCCAGCTCTGTTTGGTACCACATGGTTTTCTTTGAAAGGCCCTGCTGTTACAGCTAGAATTGCTGGGTGTCCTTTTCTAAGTAAACAGGAAATGTCACTCTGTTTAAAAAAAAAAAAAAAAGAGAGAGAGAGAGAGAGAAAGAATCCCTCTCCTCAGCACAAATGCAGTCATACGCCAACTTATACTTCCTGTGGATGCTGAGCAAGGAGCAGGATCCATTTCTCATAGCAGCACAGTCCTCTTCTTAGCGTCCAGACGTCCAGCGAGCGGAGTCGCAGGGAGGCCTGGATGACTAGGACATTTTAAAAAATGCTTCCACTGAATTTTGGGAGGCAGCAGCATCACAGTCAGGAAAGATAACAAAGCATGGAGGAAAAAACACAACTCTGCAACATTGAAGGGGCAAGATGGTATGTATCTAAATTTTAGTTGCAGCAAGTTAGTGTTCTGATAGCTGACCACCATTCTACATCTGGAAAATCTGAAGTCTTGAGCCGGTCAGGAGAGACGACACAGGGCAGGGGAAAGGAACACAGGGCGGATGGCTTGTTTCCGTTACATCAGGACCTGGGTTTGTGTGTCGGGCAGGCGAAAGCCCACCAGTCCTCCACACACGAGCACGGTGGAGGCCAGCAGGATGGGGATTGCTTTGGTGATGCTCACCAGGGAGCCGAATATCAAGTTCCCAAGGACGGCGGCAGCTTTGCAGAGCGCGTTCAAGAAGCCAAAGCCCGTTGCCCTGCGAAGGAAGGAGATAAGGTTGAGAAAGTGACTTCTAAGATTTGACTTTAGACACAAATGACTTCCAAGATTTGACTTTAGACCCATAGTATTTTCCAATGACCTCCAAGTTCTGTGTATCATTAGAGCAAGTGACTAAATGCTTGTCAGCACATCTGGAGACGGAACCCCAGCTGCTGAAACAACTCCTTCCAGCCCTCTGTTGATTTCACCTCCCCTGGTCTGTATTTTGCCCAGGAGTTCCAATTTATCAAGAGAGGAAATTTCAGGGAGTAAGGAAAGTTTCTTCTCTCTTCCAGGGTAAAATGAAAATGTATGACAATGTATTTGTTAGCTTTTTTTCCCCCCTCCCTATTTTTTTCTTAGTTTAATTAAGTGTGAGATTTTAAATAACTGAAGCCTATTTTCAGAGAAAATCAGGGACGGCTGGACTGTGTGCCTCATCTTTCCGGTACCTTGGAGGAGAACGCTCATGCTCTCTTCCCAAATGTTTTTGGTGGCCGACAGAAACTGAACACTAAGCTGGGTGGCCCATCAATGAGCTAGTGACACATTTCTTACATCCTCATCAGAGTCCCAGGGAAGTCAAATCCAAGAAGGTATTACAAAGGAGAATCAGATTGGAGGCCTGGCTCACTCTGCTGGCACTTGAGGTGTGCAGGTGGTATGTCACTAAGACACACTCCATTCCTTAAGACAGTCTTTGGAAATAAAAACATTACTACTTTATGTGTGTTGAGTGGGATTTTACTGTAGTCTTTGAGAGAGGAAACTTCATTTTGTTCATGAGAGTACTGAAACCACTGACATCATAAGATAATATGAATTTCCTCTGCCTTTATGCCAGTTCAGCTCCTTGGCTGTCACTGGGTACACACGCCTTAAGGGCACATGGGTGCATTTCTTCCCCTCCAGAGGGAAATGAATTTTATTTGCTGCAAAATGCAGCGTTTAGTACACATCTTTCTTCGATTGGTTTGTAAATTTGTAAGGATGGTTTTTCCTCTGGCCACTCATCACTACTTGTGCTGTTTCTAATGATCCTTTCTTCGATGTGCAGATATTTATTGAGGTTATTACCCAACCATCCCCCTTCCCACATCACAGGAGAAAAATCAGCCCCCCTCGTGTGCTCCGGAACCCAGCCTGCGAGCTGGTGCAGAGCCAGCGGCTTCCAACAGACAGACCTACGACAGGGCAGTGAGCACTGACTTTTTTTTATTATTAATTAATTTTTGTTACAGATGTTTCTCCTTTTCCCCCCACTGATTCCCCCCTCTCCCTCCCTCCCTGCCCTTTCCCCAGTTTGTTGTCCATGTCCACTGTTCATGCACACATGCATATAAGTTCTGTGGTTTATATCTTCCCCACCACCACCCCCTATTTAGGGGATTGTCAGTCTGTATCCCACTTCCACGTCTCTGGGACTACCCCCTTCCTCAGACTATTATGTTCATTATATTCCACAAATAAGTGAGATCATATGAAACTTGTCTTTCTCTGTTTGGCTTGTTTCACTTAGGATGATACTTTCCAGGTCCCTCCATGTAGTCTCAAAGGATAAGAGATCTTTCTTTCTTACAGCTGCGTAGTACTCCATTGTGTATATGTACCACAGCTTTTTTATCCATTCGTCTACTGATGGACACTTGGGCTGTTTCCAGATCTTAGCTATTGTAAATAATGTCTGAGAGGGAAGTTCATAGCACTACAGGCCTACCTCAAAAAAAAAGAAAAATCTCTAATAGACTATCTAACCTCACAACTTAAAGAACTAGAGAGCAAACAAAAAGAAAACCCCAGAGCAAGTAGAAGGAAGGAAATAGTAAAGATCAGAGCAGAAATAAATGACATTGAGACAAAAAAAAAAAAACAATTCAAAAAATCAATAAAACAAAGAGCTGGTTTTTTGAAAAGATAAACAAGATTGATGGACCCTTAGCTAGGCTCACCAAGAAACAAAGAGAGAGAACCCAAATACACAGAATCAGAAATGAAAGAGGAGAGATAACAACTGACACCACAGAAATACAAAAGATCGTTAACAACTACTATGAACAATCATATGGCAACAAATTCGACAATCTAAGCAAAATGGACAAATTTCTAGAAACACATAGTCTCCCAAAACTAGATCAGGAAGAGATAGAAAACTTGAACAGACCAATAACAACAGAAGAAATTGAAGATGTAATCAAGACTCTCCCAGCAAACAAAAGCCCAGGCCCGGATGGCTTCATGGGGGAGTTTTACCGAACATTCAAAGAAGAACTAATACCCATTCTCCTCAAACTATTTCAAAAAAATTCAAGAAGAAGGAAGACTTCCAAACTCATTTTATGAAGCCAGCATAATTCTAATTCCAAAACCAGAAAAAGACACAACAAAGAAAGAAAACTACAGGCCAATATCCCTGATGAACATAGATGCCAAAATCCTGAACAAAATACTAGCAAATCGGATCCAGCAATACACCAAAAAAATTATCCACCATGACCAAGTGGGATTCATCCCAGGGATGCAAGGCTGGTACAATATTCGCAAATCCATAAATGTGATATACCACATAAATAAAATGAAGAATAAAAACCACATGATAATATCAATAGATGCTGGAAAAGCCCTCGACAAAATCCAGCATCCATTTCTGATAAAAACGCTCAGCAGTGTGGGAATAGAGGGATCATATCTAGACATAATAAAGGCCATATATGAAAGACCTACAGCACTGACTTTCTTTTTGACCCAGACACCTAGAAAGTAGCGTAAGGAAGGGGTGTAAAAAAAATCTCTAATTGAGAGGAACAGGAACTTCTTGAGAAGAGGGTAAGCTAATTTTATTCTTCTTCCTCTTTTTGGCTTGTTTTTAAAGAAAGAGATTAGTAACAGCAACAACCACCAGAAAGATAAGGAGATTCAATATACTGATAACTTTTTTCAAAAGAAATTGCTGGAGGCTACATGTTGGGAGCCAGAGAAGACTTGAGTAGAATGACATCACTTACCACCTCCTCCATGCCCATAGAGATGATACCAGGAGGCTGAAGTTTTAAGAAATTAACAGACTTTTTTTTTTTATATTGCCATTAACTGGGACTTTTGACATCCCATCGGGAAAATTGTATGTATAAACTATTCAATAGTGCTATGTGCCAGGCACTATTCTAAAAAAAATTGCCTGGCTGGTGTGGTTCAGGGACTGAGCGCCGTCCCATGGACTGAGAGGTCTCGGTTGGATTCCGGTCAGGGCGCATGCCCGGGTTAAGAGGCGTGCAGGAGGCAGCCGATCGATGTTTCTCTCTCATATTGATGCTTCTATCTGTCCCTTTCTCTCTAAAAAAAATCAATAAAAACGTATTTTAAAAAAATTTAACAGACTTTCTTGAGCAGTTTCAGGTTTATGAAAAAACGGAGTGAAAAGTAGCGTTCTCATATACCTCCTTAAATCCCCCCTCCCAGTTTCCCTTATTATTGACATTCCCCTGTTATGGTACATTTGTTACAGTTGATGAGCCAATATTAATACTATTATAAACTAAACTCCATAGTATAAGTAGATACATTAGAGTTCAATCTTTTTTTTTTATATCCTCACCTGAGGACATTTTTTTTTTCATTATCTTCAGATAGAGCGGGAGGGAGAGAGGGAGGAAGAGAGAAAGAAACATCGATATGAGAGAGACACATTGAGTGGTTGCCACCCACACAACCCCAACCAGGGCCGGGGACAAACTGCAACCGAGTTATGTGCCCTTAGCAGGAACCGAACCCCGGTCTCTCTGGTCTGCGGGCCCACGCTGTAACCCGAGCCAAACCGGCCACGGCTGGAGTTCACTCTTAATGCTGTGTATCCTGCGGGCTTTGACAAACGTAGAATGGCATGTATCCACCATTACAGCATCACACAAAACAACAGTTTCACTGCCATAAAAATCTGTACTCCCCTATTCATCCCTCCCTCCCCTCCATCCCTGGCAACCACCGATCTTTTTACTGTCTCCATAGTTTTGTCTTTTCCAAAATGCTGTGTAATTGTAATCATACAGTATATCGCCTTTTCAGGTGGGCTTCTCTCACTTTTTTTAGAACTACATTTTTATTTTATAAATGACCAAATACATCCATGGTAGTAAGATAAGCTGTATTGTTCTAGGGGGGGAAAAGGGTAGTAAACATAGTATGTTGCTGATAAGAAAGAAAAACATCATTCTGTATGAAGACGTCTCTCAGCACGGAACCTGCCAAATGACCCATGCAGAATTTACATCTGTGATAAAATAACCATATTTTCCCCAAGCTATAAACCTCTGGTATAACTCAGAACAGAGTATAAAATACAGGCGGTTATCTCCTTATATTACTAAAGCCGTCATGGAGGAAAGGGTGACTTGCTGGAATTTCTGTGCAGGGAGAGAGATGCATCGGAGTATCCGGTATCCGAAGCTCCTCAAAAGACATGATCAAATCCTTACTTCCCAAGAATCTCCTTTTTCATTTACTGAGCAGAGGCGGTTCTTTAGATAAAAATCGGGTGTGGGTGCAAAGCATATAGCCTCCTTAAATAAATGTTGGCATGCAAGAAAACGTGACTGTCTTTTCCTTGAATAAGTAAATCATTTCTTCAAATACTTGTAGCTGGGGGTTATCTGTGCATTGGAGGCACAGCTGTCTTAGAAAAATCATTCTCAAAGTGGTTCTCCCTTGGGGGTTATTTGCTTATAAAGTAGAGAAGCTTTTAGTTTATTTATTCCCTTGTTCTTACTTAAAGGAAGGGCACTAGCTTCTGCAGACATGCAAAGCGCAAGTCACCTTGCGTGCGCTCCTAAAGTCCTTTGAGGGAAGGGGTTTGCTAACCTAGCGGCCGGGCAAGCTACCGCATTCTTACCCGCCCCCAAATGCCTGTGTCTTCTCCTAACCAACAAGTAGCGAGGAGAAAGAATAAAATGATCTATTACCTTTCTTTTTATCTTTTTATCACTTTTTGAGAGAGAGAGAGAG